AAACAAAACAACAGAAGCAACAACAAGAAACTGGGACTGGAAAGATGTCTCAATCTGCAGTTAAGAGCACTGGCTGCGCTTCCAGAGGATCTAGGTTCAGTTTCTGGCACTGACATGGCAGCTCATAACCATCTACAACTCCAGTTCCAGAGAATCTGATACCCTCTTCTGGTGTCCGTGGGCACTGCACACACGTGGTGCACAAACACCCACACACGTAAAATAATCATAATCATCATAAAGCTTAAAAAAAGAAATCTAGACTTAAGAGTTGAGGATTCAGCTCCATGGTGGAGTATTTGTCTATTATGTGTGAGTGATTGATCTAAAGAACCTGAAAAAATTAAGAATTTAAATCTAAGCTCGATTACATTGAAGGACTAAAATTTAGATAACCCTGGAGAGATTGACGGCCAACACTCTTCAGGCCGACACAGTAATTTTGTCACGTAGCCATGTCTCCCTCTGCTGGTCAAACCTGATTTTGCACAGTAAATCCAAGTCCTGAGTGAGTCATTTTGAATGTTCCTAAGGTACCTGCTGACTGATGAGTGTATTCTTCTTGTATAGTTTTATAGCGTAACCTGATTGTCACTGGGTCTTCACTGGAAGAAGCAGCTGATGTGAGAATCCCCTGTGGAAAAAGAACTTTCTGTATTGAGCTGAGTGTGGTGGTTCACACTCGTTATCTCAGCACTCGGGAAGCTAAAAGAGGAAGATCAAGACTTTGTGGCTAGCTTGGACTACATAATGAGCAAGCACTTTCATTCCCGAGGATGGCTCCACGAGCAGCTGACGTACCACTTACCTTTATGGTAACTCAACCCTCTGCAGAAGGGAAACACCACGGGGCTTCAGGGCTGCGGTCTCAGTGGCTTTATTTTTATTTGATTTTATTATTTTAATTTATTTTCTATTATTTTGCTTTCTTCCCCCTAGACATCTGTTGAGTCTGAAGCTTCTAGGCTGGGCCCTCTTTACAAGACATGGATATTGCTGGACATAGTAGCCCACGCCTCCACTCAGGAGGCAGAGGTATCTCTGTAACTTCCAGGCTTGCCTGGTCTACGTAGAGAGTTCCAGAACAGTCTAGGCTACATAGAGAATCCCTGTCTCAAAATTAATTAATTTGTTAATTAATTAAAACAAATTAAATCAGAAACCTTCCCTGACTGGCAGGAGATAGAAGGACGAAATTTACATAAAATAAAGCATGGGACTACTGTTCCGGTTTCTGTGTGGGGAAGTGAGTTTGAAGTCAAGCTTGGTGGCACATGTGTAGAATCCTAGCCCTTCAGGGGCCAAGGCAAAAGGATCACAAATTCAACACCTGCCTGGGCAACTTAGAAAAATTGTGTCTCAAAATAGAACAAGGGCACTGGCTAGATGGAATGCCCGTGGGTAAGAGTGCTTGCCACACAAGTGTGGTGACTTGAGTTACCTGTGTGTGCTTCTCTCTCTCTCTCTCTCTCTCTCTCTCTCTCTCTCTCTATTTTTTTCTTTTTTTTTTCTTTCTTTTTTTTTTTTTTTTTTTTTGAGACAGGGTTTTTCCGTGTAGTCCTGGCTGTCCTGGAATTCTCAGAGATCCTCTTGTCTCTGCCTCCCAAGTGTTGGGATTAAAGGCGTGCGCCCCCAACTGCCTGGCTCTGGGTGTGTTTTTCAGGGCATTTCAGAGCAGCTTACTGCCAAAGAAAGTAGCCTCGGTGAGAGAAGCAGGAGCCACGTGAGGCTGAATGGTGGAAACCTGGGCAGTATAGACAGTATCGAAGGAAGGAGGACATCTTGAGCAAAGGAGCACCATGACGGTACAGAAACAGTGGGGTGTCTGGAGGGGCCTTCAGCAAGTCAGAATAGCTGGAGAATCCAGCAGGGAAGAATGGTGGACCCAAAGCTGAAAGGAAGATACAGAATGCAAGTGTGTGTGTGTGGGGGAGGCATATTTATTTAGAGACAGGGTCTCTAGTAGCCCAGACTGACTTCAAACTAACTGTCTAGCCAAGATGACCTTGAGCTTCTTGCCTCAGGCCTCAATTTTCACAGTGTTGGGGTTACAGGCATGTGGTACTGTGCCCAGATTTTCAGAGGCTGAGGATTAAACCCAGGTTTTCATGTCTGCTAGGCAAATGGTCTACGAACTGAACCAGAACCCCAGGCCTGGATCCCTTTTCTTGAGCGACCTTTATGGCCCAAGCATGCACACACATATCATTTGACTTAATCTTTGTATAAATCCTGGGAGGGAAAGTAAACACTCCTATCCTACTGCGAGAATAGCTGTTCAGAGAAATTAAGTAATTTAGAGGGACTTGCATCTCGGAAGCAGTTTTGTTTTTTCACCGTCTGCTCCCATACAAAAGGACCTGGGCCAGTGGTGAAAACATGGAGGGAGCAGAGTACACTTGTATTTTACCCAGCACTGTAGTGGCAGATGAGTTAGCCAAAACAGAGATGGATGTGCAAAAGCCAAGCCAAGCACAAGGAAATAGTTCAAGAATCAAACAGTAGCTGGGCTGTGGTGGTGCACACCTTTAATCCCAGCACTCGGGAGGCAGAGGTAGGTGGATCTCTGAATTTGAGGCCAGTCTGGTCTACAAGAGCTAGTTCCAGGATAGGCTCAAAGCTACAGAGAAACCCTGTCTCGGGGGAAAAAAAAAAAAAAGAATCAAACAGTATCCAGAAGCCAGGTTGTCAGAGCCAAGGAAAGTAAAATTTGCACAGCCAAAGCTTCACCAGCAATTGGCCCAAAGGGAGCTGGAGTGAGGAGCAAGGCCAGAGAACTCCAGAAGCAGGCAAGCTACCAGCTGCTAGCCTGGCTGAAAACCAAATTCTAGGAATTTGGGAATAGCAATGACACAAGGAGCCAGGTTCTGCTGTTTGTTTTGGGATGTGGGAGTCCCTTGATGCCTAGGTTGACCTTGAACTCGCTGTGTCTCTGAAGACAACTTTAAACTCTTGATCTTCCCGCTTCCATTTTCTGAGTGTAGATGACACTATGCCTAGCTTTATCTCCATTTTCATAAACTTTATTTTAAAAGCTTGTGAATAATATCAACATCACATGTAAAATCCATTTTCTAAATAATTATTTATTCGTATTTTATGCACTTGAGCGCTCACCTGCACTATTTCATGTGTGTGGGTGTTAGCCTGCACACGTGTATGTGCACCACATGCATTCCTGGCACCGGTGGAAGTGAGGAGAGGACACCAGAGTCAGGGATGGTTGTGAGCCACCATGCAGAACCGTCTGGAAACCAAACCCAGGCCTTCTGCAAGAGCAGCCGGTACCCTTGACTGCCAAGCCATCTCTCTAGGCCCCGAGTCCCCTTTTAAGCACACGGGGAAGCTCAAGCTGAAGCAGGGTTGATGTTGAGTGGAGGTCAGAACTGGGACGGTGTGGTTTAGGAAGATAACTAGTAGCGTGTGTTGTGCAGGCATGAGGTACGAAATTATGATCTCCGATAATCCCTGCCCTGAGGAAGTAAAGACAGGCTGGTCCTCAGTGCCCACTGACCACACAGCACAGTCTACCCAGTTACCCTTCCACGTGAGTGGAGGAACATTGCCCTCCCCATCTCCCACCCCAAATAATGAAGTTCAGGGACTTGCAAAGAGATGGCTCAGTGGCCAAGAACATTTGTTGCTTTTACAGAGGATACTGGTTCCGTTCCCAGGACACACACATCAGGTCACAACTACAACTCTAGCTCCAGGGGATCTAGCATCCACTTCTGACCTTTGTGGGCACCAGGAACACACAGGAGATGCAAACATACATATATACAGGCAAAACACATAGAATAACATTTAAAAAACAAATGAACAACAGGACTTCTCTGTGGACCAGGCTGGCCTTGAACTCAGACATCTACTTGTTTCTGCCTACTGAATGCTGGGATTAAAGGCGTACATCACCACAACTAGCTAATTTTTTTTTTTAATGATGTCAATCCCTGGCCTGAAGAGGCCCCCACATGGACATGCACCTGTATGTACATGTTCACACACCCACACAAACACACATACACATATACCCCACATAGGAACTGGAATGCTAGGCCCAAGCTTTTTTGTTTTTTTCTAAGTTTCATCCTTCTTTCTGCTGTGGAAACAGATCACAATAGGACCTCAAGGCAGGAGCTTGAAGGAGTAGCCACGAACACTCTTTACCGGCTGGTTTCTAGCTCACATTCAGCTGTCTTTCTCACACACCCCGGGACTACCTGTTCAGAGGTGAAACTCCCACGGTGGGGCTGGGCTCTCCTCCTTCAGTTAGCAAATTAAGAATATGCTCCCACAGGCCAACCTGAGGCAGTTCCTCAGCTGAGCCTCCCTCTTCCCTGGTTTCTCTAGTTTGGATTGACAAAAATTAACCAGCACATAACATGGGGCGTCAGTTCTGTGACGGGCTATGGCCCCCTTTAGGAAAGTGGTCCAGATTCTAGACTAGGGCTGGGGCTTGGAGGGAGCTAGAAAAGTGTGACGGCATTGCTATCAGAAGTACAGACTGGATCAGAGTGGTGGAGGACAGAAGACAGACAGGCCTTCATGGGATACGCAAGGTCATGGAAAAGAGGTTGGAGTCCGAGCCCAGTGCAGGCACAATGGGTGGCATCAGTTAACTGCTTCCAGCGCAGTGTTAAAAAGAAGGCCAGGCAGGAGTAAACCAGGCTAGGGAGTAAGCTCCGGGAGGCCTGGTGACACCCTGAAGAGTGGGACACGGTGACATGTCCCCATCTGCAAGCAAAATGGCAGGAGCAGTGAGAAACTAAGCACGCGGTAGCAGAGAGAACACGCGTGGGTGGGTTGTACAGCCTTAGCAGACTCTCTCCGGGGAGGGGGTTGCATGCGGGAGGAGGGGCTCCCAGACCTGAGGACTGGAGAAAGCATTAGCAACCTGACAGAACCCTGTTAACAAAGGAAGGACTACATCTCCCAGCATGCTCGGGTTCGGTGGGGTGACGGCGGGCGGTGGCTGCGCCGCATCCGACTGGTGGGCGCGGGACCTGGGTGGGCACCCGAGCCTGTCATCCCTGCGGGGTCGGCGGGGTGCGGGCGGCGATGCACCGCTGTCCCTCGCTCAAGGGCCGCGCCGGGCTCTTATTCCCCGCCCCGCGGCCCCGCCCCTTGCCCCACCCCAGCTGGGAGACCTAACCCGGGCCGCAGCGCAGCGGCCGCAGCAACATCACTCTCGCCGCCGCTGCTCCGCCCCATCCCCTTCTGTTTTTCTCTCATTCTCCGGTGGCGGCGGCGGGGAAGGCGGAGGAGAGACAGAAGCAGCCAGCTGTGTCTGCAATGAATGATCCCCCAGCTGAAGGGGAGGACTCCAGGTGAGCCTCTGCCCTCGGGAGGACCGGGATTGCCCGGCCGCCCAAGCCCCGCATCCCCCGCCATGGATCCCTAGGGGAACGGAAAAAGAAGGAGGAAAAGATAGCTCTGCCGCCCACCCCCATCTCATTTTCCTCTTCCTTTATCTCATTGTTGCCGAAGCTGTTTACCGTAGCGCTCCCTCTTGCCCCAGAATGGGGCGGGTTCCAGGCACTGCCCTTCGGCAGGAGCTGCTTGCGCGGTTGCCGGGGGATTCTGCCTAATTCTACCTCTCCAGTCTGTGCACAGAAAACCGTGGAGAGCTGTGGAGGCCTGAACTGCAGCAGCCTCGGGGCCAACTCCCTGCATCCCCACCCTGGGAGGCTGTATGCGGATTGAAGAGCGGTGTCTGGGGGCTGGGCCAGCCTGGCTGATCCCGACCTAGGATTAGGACAGGAGGACCTCCCAGGCTGCCGAGTGGCCCATCTGGAAGGACAGAGTCACAAGATGGCCAGTAAGACCAAGGCCAGCGAGGCCCTGAAGGTGGTGGCCCGGTGCCGCCCCCTCAGTAGAAAGGAGGAGGCTGCTGGTCATGAGCAGATTCTGACCATGGACGTGAAATTGGGCCAGGTGACTCTGCGAAACCCCCGCGCGGCACCCGGGGAACTGCCCAAGACCTTCACTTTTGATGCCGTGTATGATGCTAGCTCCAAGCAGGCGGATCTGTATGATGAAACGGTGAGGCCCCTGATAGACTCAGTGCTTCAGGGTTTCAATGGCACCGTGTTTGCCTATGGCCAGACCGGCACTGGCAAGACCTACACTATGCAGGGGACCTGGGTGGAGCCAGAGCTCCGCGGGGTTATCCCCAACGCCTTTGAGCACATCTTCACCCACATCTCCCGCTCCCAGAACCAGCAGTACCTGGTTCGTGCCTCCTACTTGGAGATCTACCAAGAGGAGATTCGAGACCTGCTATCCAAGGAGCCAGGCAAGAGGCTAGAGTTGAAGGAGAATCCTGAAACAGGGGTCTATATCAAGGATCTCTCCTCATTTGTCACCAAGAATGTCAAGGAGATTGAGCATGTGATGAACCTGGGGAACCAGACCCGGGCAGTGGGCAGCACCCACATGAATGAGGTCAGCTCCCGGTCCCATGCCATCTTTGTCATCACAGTGGAGTGCAGTGAGCGTGGCTCGGATGGCCAGGACCATATCCGAGTAGGCAAGCTCAACCTGGTAGACCTGGCTGGCAGTGAGAGGCAGAACAAGGCAGGTCCCAACACAACTGGAGGACCAGCCGCACAGCCCACATCTGGTGGTGGCAGCGGAGGTGGCAGTGGTGGTGGTGGTGGCAGCAGCGGAGAGAGGCCTAAGGAAGCCTCTAAAATCAATCTCTCCCTGTCTGCACTGGGCAATGTGATTGCTGCTCTAGCCGGCAACAAGAGCACCCACATCCCCTACCGGGACTCCAAACTGACCCGGCTGCTCCAGGACTCACTGGGGGGCAATGCCAAGACCATCATGGTGGCCACACTGGGTCCAGCTTCTCACAGCTACGACGAGAGCCTCTCCACCCTACGCTTTGCAAACCGAGCCAAGAACATCAAGAACAAACCCAGGGTGAACGAGGACCCCAAGGACACACTGCTGAGGGAATTCCAGGAAGAGATCGCCCGCTTGAAAGCCCAGCTGGAGAAGAAGGGCATGCTGGGTAAGCGGCCTCGGAGAAAGAGCAGCCGCAGAAAGAAGGCTGTCTCCGCCCCAGCTGGTTTCCCAGAGGGGCAGGTGATCGAGGCCTGGGTGGCCGAAGAAGAAGATGACAACAATAACAATCACCGCCCACCCCAGCCCATTCTGGAGTCAGCTTTGGAGAAGAACATGGAGAATTACCTGCAGGAACAGAAGGAGCGGCTGGAGGAGGAGAAGGCCGCCATCCAGGATGACCGCAGCCTAGTGAGCGAGGAGAAACAGAAGCTTCTAGAAGAGAAGGAGAAGATGCTGGAGGATCTGCGGAAGGAGCAGCAGGCCACAGAGCTGCTCGCGGCCAAGTACAAGGTAAGGGCCCCAGAGCATGAAAGAGGTCCTCAACAGGGGATCAGTAGATTTCCCTTTGAGGGTCTGTGAGTTGGCCTGCTGCGGAGTATGCCACCTTAGGACCACATACTGACCACTGTCCTAGAACGGCTAAGCAGAGTACTGTGATACCAGGTAACCAGGTATGCTTACACGCATGCACACACACAAAGCAGAATGGTCAGGTTCTTGAACCGGTGAACTTGAGATGGGCTGACTTGCTGCTGTCCATTTCTGCAATGGCCCCAGGATTGGTCAGGTCTATAAGAAACCCATGTGGGATTCTCCTCTTGTGAGTGTGGCTTCTCATTCTTACACGGTCTCCTCTCCCGATACCCTTTCCCCCTCTGAGGTGTCTTCAGATCTCATATTATGTTAATACTATCTGATGTTTGGACAGCACTTCAGGGTTTACAAAATACCCCACATTTGTCTCACCTTGTCTCATCTTCACAGGAGCCATTCAGCACAGTGGCTTTTAAATCCCTACCTTACTGATGAGGGATTAAGGCTCAGAAAGTGGCAGGAACAAGGTTCCAGAGCTGAGCTGGTACCTGTAAACACTAGGCCTTTAGTCTTTAGTAGCAAGGTCAGACCATGAGACAGAGAATTCTGATTCCTATGGAAATGACCCACTGGATGACACAGTGCCAGGCCCGCTCCCTGGTGTCCTAAGAAGGAGACTCAGAGTGTCATGTAGGAAGGAGGATGGAGAGAGAACTGGGCTCTATCCCAGAGACCTAGAGTTCAATAAGTAACTGGCTGTTTTTTCCTTTTTCCCTTTGCCTCCATTTCCATTTTTATAAAGTAGGATGTTAGCTTGGGGGATCACTGAGCCTCTACCAATCTGATAACTCTATGGCCCGCATTAATCTGAAAAAAAAAAGAACAAAACATTTGACCTACACAATGAGGCCTTATGTCAGTTATGCCCAGTTTCCCACTGTCCTGAGAGATGTCAGGACTTCAGCATCCTTCCTGAGTTGTCCACGTCCCTGACAACCTCGGACCCTACATGGAGCTAAGTTACTGAGGCAATCGTAGACCTGTTAAATTTCTTCCTGCTCTTTTTTCTTTCTTCTTTGTAAATAGAATGTCGTGTAGTCTAGTTTGGCCTAGAACTCTGTATATAGCTGAGGATGACCTTGGACTAATTATCTTCCTGCCTCCACCTCCTGATTGCTAGAATTACAAGCAAGAACCGTCACCATGCCTGGCTTTATGCACAGCTGGCGATCAACCCCAGAGTTTTGTGCACACTAGATAAATACCACCAACTAAGCTACATCCCCAGCTGCCTGTTAAATCTCAGTGCTGGGGATGTCACAACCCAGTGTTCCAGGCATTTCCGGATCCCTGGAGCCTTCGGCACTGGGGTTGAAGGAAAAATATGGAGAGTCATGAGTTTGCTTGGAAGATCAAACACTGCCATTTCTTATTTCTTCTTAGGAATGTGGGCTAGGAATGGGGAGGCCCTGCCCACAGCCACTGGAAGTGTGACAACTGAGCCGAGTGCATTGTCTCTGTACTGGGATATGCTGCTGCAGCCGGGGCTGTGGCCTGGCATGTTTAATATTTAATTCCCTCATGGAGAAGCTCAACCAGGGTTACTGAGCTGCTTCCTCAAGGGAAGGTACCTGGGAGATGCAGGATGTTAAAGGCAAGGCTGCCAGTCCAGTCCTATGTAGCAGCAGAGGCAGGGTGGTGTTATTGACTGGGAAATCCTATCTGACCCATCAGCCATCGATTTCTCTTCCAAGATATCACTTACGCTGTTAAGCCGGGAGGCAGTGTGGGTAACAGAGGCTAATAAAGTGCAGATGGGTATTTCAAACGTTCTTTTTGGGAACTGGCTGGTATCTTTCCCTAAGATTTTTTACCCCTAAGGCAATGTAAGAACACAGGTAATAGGACAGTCAGGAAATCAGGGTGGAGTTGTGCATAGTGGCATGCATCTGGAGTCCCAGTTGCTTGGAAGATGGAGGCAGAGTAGTTCAAGCTCAGGAGTCGAGGCTTGGTAGTAATGCATAGCCTGTTTTCCAACCTGGGCAACATGTGAAGACCCCATTTCGAAATAAATAAACACACAAGCAGATCTGTCAATCGATTGGTTAATAAAAAGACTGAGGTCAGTGGTGGCATATGTCTTTAATCTCAGTCTTTAATCCCAGCACTCAGGAGGCAGTGGCAGGTGGATCTCTGTGAGTTCAAGGACAGCCTGGTGTATACGAGCTAGTTCCAGGACAGGCTGCAAAACTATAGAGAAATCATGTCTCAGAAAGAAAGAAAGAAAGAAAGAAAGAAAGAAAGAAAGAAAGAAAGAAAGAAAGAAAGAAAGAAAGGAAAGAAAGAAAAACTGGGGTGACCAGAACTGGAATTCCTACACTAGGTGTATAGCCCATACAACATTATAATCTTATTGTTGGCAGGGGCCCTGGAGTACTGGTATAGGATTGGTTCAGGGTCACACAGTGGCCTGAGCAGAGCCCAGCCTGTTCATGGGCAGCCTAGCTTCTTCCCGTTGTTGTGTGCATTCCTGGCAAAGTAGTTTGGTTTTTCTTTCTTTCTTTCTTTCTTTCTTTCTTTCTTTCTTTCTTCCTTCCTTCCTTCCTTCCTTCCTTCCTTCCTTCCTTCCTTTCTTTCTTTCTTTCTTTCTTTTTTTTTGGAAACAGGGTTTCTCTGTATAGCNAAGCAGTGATTTAATTAATACAGTTTCTGTGTGATTACTTCGGGGGAGGGGGCGGGTGGCTAAACAATTGGGAACCAACAAGTGGCCTCCTTGCAACACAGACTTATGGTGGGTTACCCATGTAGTATGGGTATCACACCTAGATGCTCACTGAGGGCGCAAGAGGCCACCTATCCATTGAGGAGACCCCTCAGCCAATACCCTCACCCTGGTCCTCACCTGTCCGGTAGCCTGTGCTGTTGAGGTACACGGCGAAGGTGCGGCTCTCGTGCTGTGCCTGCCAGGAGGGCGAGGAGCAGTTCTCATTGTTGGTGTAGGTGTTGTGATTGTGGACGTACTTGCCCGTGAGGATGGAGGAGCGAGAAGGGCAGCACATGGGCGTAGTCACGAAGGCGTTGATGAAGTGTGCCCCACCCTGCTCCATAATGCGCCTTGTCTTGTTCATCACTTGCATGGAGCCTGCAAGCAAAGGGCACTGGTGAGTCACATGGTCTGCTAGCGGGGGATCAACTTAGGGGGCTCCCAACCCTAAGCCTGGAGCTGCAGGCAGGCTTAGGAAATCCATGAGCTGCATGGGCCAGATCTCCACCCAGAACCCAACCAGGAAGGCCCCGGTCTCAGTCCCACTAGAGACTGTGTTGGATAAAAACCTGGTTTTAAGTATTTTTTTTTGAGATAGGGTTTCTCTCTGTAGCTTTGGAGCCTGTCCTGGAACTCACTCTGTAGACCAGGCTGGCCTTGAACTCAGAGATCCACCTGCCTCTACCTCCCAAGTGCTGGGATTAAAGGCATGTGCCACCACTGCCCGGCCAAAACTAATTTTTTTAAAGGTGTATTTATTTTATGGGTACATGTATGCCTGGGTGACTTGCCCCGTGTGTTCAGGAACCTGCAGAGATCAGTCTAAAGGGGGCATTGGATGACCTTGAACTTGGGTTCTAGGAAGTTGTGAGGCATCAGGTGGGTACTGAGGATGACTGGTAAGCACTTTTAACTGCTAAACCATCACTCCAGCTCAAGCGATTTGTTTTTATGTAACACTGTGACATCTTAATCTTACTCCTTCAAAACTCCCTTGTAGGGGACACTGTTTCCATTCGGCAGCTGTGAAAAGCAAGGCTGGTCTATGGATCTGGTTAAATGGCAGAGCCAGTGCCAGACTTCAGGTCTTCTGATATCTCCCCTGCCCTGTGTTCTTTTCATGCCACTCAGGGCAAAGGCTTTTGCCTTTCTGAGCTTTGGGTCCCAGTTAGCTAAAGAGAAACAGAAGCTTGACATAGATCCCAGGGGAGTGGGTGAGGTGGCTGTTGGGTACTGGTTATCAGATATAGACTGAGCAGCCTGGAGAATTCCAGGAGAGGAAAGACTCCGTGTCATCCGGACCAAGGCCAGGGTGGAACCAGGCAGAGGGCCCAGCCCTCCTGTCCTGCCTGTCCTCAGGATACAGCCGGGTTGGGTTCTGAGGTGGCGGAAACATTTTGACAGCTCCTCAGGGAGCCACAGGGTGGCTGTAAGATCCTGTCCCACCTCTTTCCCAGGGTTGCGCTGGAGATGAAATGAGATCATTATTAGCACGGGGCATTTGAAATAGGCTGAAAACATTGAAATGAATGGAGGGCATTAGCGACCACCGGGTGTCTTGTGTCTGCCAAGCAGGGGTCCAAGACTGACAGCTTTGTTGTTAGTTTAACCCTTTCCTTACCCGGCTTTTCTCAGTGCGTTTTCACTGCTCTGCAGAGCCAGGCAGGAAAGGTCGTGGAGACCTCAGGAGCCTGGGAGCTTTCCCTTCTCCATCTGCAGCGAACTCTTCCCCACTTTCTGGTTAGCCATCAACTGCATTTCTCTCTCTGCCCCCTGCCATTCCTTCCTCCAGTTCCTACCACCCCTACCCCCACCCCAGGCCGGCTGAGTGCAGCTGAGTCGACCCAGTGCCCTCATTCAGGGTCTGACTCATCTTCCAGTCTGTCTTGCCTGCTTTCCCTGCCTGCTACCCTCAAGGCTCCTGATTCTCTTTGTTCTCTGGATGTGCACCAAGTGCCATGCCTGTCTCCTCTAAATCTCTCTCTTTTAAAAAAAAAAATTCTCCTTTGACTCTTACCATATTTGCTTTGGGCCTCAGAACGTGAAGGGTTCAGATGTGTGAGATTGTGATTGTGGCTGGTGCCCTGTGTACATTAATCATTAGCAAGCCACACACTTAGGTCATATCTCCCGGGGTCTGAGGGACTTGACAGTCTCATGCTATGAAGTAGGAGGAAGAAGGTAACATTAACATTGCAGACTCACAGTGCTC